AACCCAAGGAACAGATTTGGTTACGCAGACGACGCAGCTAACCTGGCAATCTCAACATCTCTTGCTACTAACTGCGAAGCATTATCAGACTCACTACAAGAAGCTCTAAACTGGGGCGCTGCAGAGGGCATTACATTTGCACCAGATAAATACGAGCTTCTTCACTTCTCCCGACATAAAGCAGACCAGGACCCAACCTGCACACCTTCAGTAAAAGCTGGATCTATCATAATCTCAGAAAATACTAAACGGCTATATCTACGCTGGCTAGGAATCCTCTTTAACAAAAAGCTAACATTTAAATGGCATGTTGGTAAAACAGCATCTAAAGCCCTCACTGTGACTAATGCCCTTCGCTCTCTAGGGAATACTATCCGTGGAGTCAAACCTCATTTACTACAGCAGGCTGTATCAGCCTGTGTACTCCATAAAGCATACTATGGCGCAGAAACCTGGTGGCCAGGACGTACTCGCCCTGGATCTTCCCAAATCTCAAATCGAGTTGGAGAACATCTTGAGAAACTAACCAAAGTAATACTAGCAGGCGCAAGAGCAGTCCTTCCAGTTTTCCGCACAACCCCAATATCTGTTCTATACCGAGAGTCTGGATTCTCTCCGCTAGAAATTGAACTAGATCAAATAGCCCTCCAAACATCTGTCCGCCTACGGCGTCTTGATCCATACCACCCACTCCGAAGACGCGCAGAACAGATAGCCAGAGACGGCCGACAAACCAGTCGATTTGCCCGCCGAGTGCTGGCGCTCCCCAACTCTGAATAAATAAACCCTCTACAACATGCTCCCTGGTACCCTCGTGAGTCACGCAAGAGTGCCCTAGCCCGAATAGGAGCTCCTATGGGACGCACTAAGGAACAGGCAGCGGCTGATTTCACGGCTTTTCAACGCACCATCCCTAGCTCGGATATTGTAATCTTTTCAGATGGATCTAGGCTGATAGACGGACGTGCAGGGGGTGGCTATATTGGATTTCAAGCACACCATCAGTTCCTCCGCTCCTCACTCTCATACGGACATGGGAAAGAGGTCTTTGACACAGAAGCAGAAGCTGCCCTAGCTGGTGCTCAAGCAGCAATAACATACCCAACAGCTCAATTTGCTACCAACCTATGGATCTGCCTTGACAACCTGGAAGTTGCCACGCGCCTCCTATCCCCCTCTACAGGATCCTCCCAAGAGGTCTTTGAATCCTTCCGCACCCTTGCAGCCGCCTGGCCACTACGCGAAAGGCTTCCACACACCAAAAGTGGATCAATCCAAATCCGATGGGTCCCTGGACACGCTAAAATCCCTGAGACGAAGCGGCTGATCTCGCTGCCAAGAGGAGCTGCCTCACCCCTCCTGCTCTCAGAAATCCTCATACGCCTCGCTAA